TCAAAGCCCTGGGAGAAGTGAGAGCTCTTGAGTGCATGGCTCCCTGGGGTTGTGTGAGTGTGTATCCTGTAACCAGGCAACCAGGGTGCTGGGGGGGGGGCAGGCCTCTACTCTTATGTTGCTGCCTGCTGGAGGTGGGGGTGCTTGGGTAGCTCACATCCATTCATTTATCTGTCCATTCATCCGGCTGCCCATCTTCCTGTCCACCCTGTCCCTCACGTGGCCACTCACCTGCTCAGCGTAGCTGTAATTGCTAGCAGGTCTAAGCAAGGAGTGTGAGAATATGGTATACATGATCTCTGCTTAAAAAGGCTCAAGTGGACAGAGCAGGGCTGAGCTAGAGACAGGGGTGCAGTGGCAGACACACTTCCAGCGTTCCAGACAGGAATTTGAAGTGGCCCAGATCTAGGGAGTTCCAGCGAGAGGGACTGTCTAGATCCATTTTGTTCTGCCAAAGGCCTGGTGTAGACAGAGGAGGTAGCTGGCCCAGTGGCCTCCTCCCCTCCTCTACTCAGCCCAAGCCCCCTTTAAGACTCTCTTGTTTGCACTGACAGTGGTACAGGGATGCCTGGGGAATAAGCCTGCCAGGCTTGAAGCCTGCTGGCAGGAGCTGGTAAATCTATCACAGACTGGCTAAAGAGAGCCTGTGGTAGGAGGGAGGGAGGGGCCCTGCAAGGAGAGGTCAGATGGGCAATTTATGGAGGTGCTGGGGTGGCCTTTCATGGTATCTGACAGGCCAGCTTCTCTCTGGAGAAGTCACCTCCTTGGGAGTTTATGAAGCTCTAGAGAATCTCAGTGGCATAGGGCATTAGTGATTGGGACAGGCAAAATCCTGTGTTGTGTGTGCATACCTAGTTCTAAGCTCTGCCCCTTATTCTCTGTGGGCCTCTGGTCCCCATGGGAACTCCCTGGTGCACCCTGGTGGTGAGGGAAAGTCTTGGGGGCAAGAGTGATGCCCCTCACACCAGAGAGCCTTGTCTGGGCCCAAGAACAGAGCCATGGTGATGCAGAGCTGGCTGTGTGTAAGGGCCACTTCCCATCCCTGGGAGACCCTGTATGGTGGCCAGAGCTATCTGTCCTGTGGTGATGGGTGTGTCTCTGGCAATGCCATCTTAACAGGAGCTCCGCCACTTGTTAGGCCCTTCTTTCTTGCCTTCTTCATGATCCACCTGTCTGTTTCTGAAACAGGCGACAACAGAACTGGCCTCAGGAGTAACCTCAACACTGACTGGCTAGGAAGCACCCCACAAATGCTCCTCCATTACATCAGTCATGTTCAGCACACGGGGGGTCATAGAACAGCTCCAGAGCTGATCACGAACACCCGCCTTGGACATTTGGGGCGGACTGCCCCTCTGGTAGCTGCTATCGGGCAGTTACCCTCTCCAGGTTTTCTCTAGGCTAGGTAGGATCCAGGGAGGGATGTGGTACTGCCCCCTCAGGAGGCTGGGTTAACTCCAGGGCAGCGTTGTTGTGGGATATGGTCCAACAGCGACCTGACCTTTGTTCTTTCCCCACAGATCTACCGGAGGTGCTGGCTGGTATTCCGGAAATCTTCCAGCAAGGGGCCCCAGCGGCTGGAGAAGTACCCCGATGAGAAGTCAGTGTGCCTCCGAGGCTGCCCCAAGGTTAGGGGCCTGGGCCCTAGCTTCCCCTACCTGTGAGCAAAGATGACTTGCTGAGTCTTGAGGTCCGGGCGTACCTTCCTGGGGGGCACAGCTACGGGAGGCAGGGTGAAGTACCCCAGCCAGGCTAAGCCTCTTGGGATGTCCTCTCAGGTGACTGAGATCAGCAACGTCAAGTGTGTCACACGGCTCCCCAAGGAGACCAAGAGGCAGGCAGTGGCTATCATATTCACGGATGACTCGGCTCGTACTTTCACCTGTGACTCAGGTGAGGCCTCAGGGCGGCAGGCTCCAACTGGTCTTCTGGGGCTGGTAACAGTAGTTCAAGCAGTGGATAACAGAGCAGGGCCAATCCTGGCAGGAAGGGTGGGAGGGGTGTGTCCCTGGTGGAGTTGATCCCCAGACTAAGTCTGGCAGGCAGGTAAGGCCCTGCCCTCCCTGCAAAGTGCAATGGTTTAAACCAAGGCAGACTGGGTGGGCTGCTGGGGGCTCTGAGCTGGCAGAACTGTGAAGTGCGATTTCTCTCTAGAGCTGGAGGCAGAGGAATGGTACAAGACGCTATCAGTGGAATGTCTGGGGTCACGGCTCAACGACATCAGTCTGGGAGAGCCAGACCTCCTGGCCCCAGGAGTACAGTGTGAGCAGACAGGTGAGGCTGGCGCTGGGTCTCCAGGTGGGGTGGGAGGTGGGGCCCTCGGTTAGTGCTGCTGTCCTCATCACCCTCTGCCACCGCAGATCGCTTCAATGTCTTCCTGCTGCCCTGCCCCAACCTGGACGTATACGGCGAGTGCAAGCTGCAGATTACCCACGAGAACATCTACCTCTGGGACATACACAACCCCCGCGTGAAACTCGTCTCGTGGCCCCTCTGCTCCCTGCGCCGTTACGGCCGAGATGCCACACGTTTTACCTTTGAGGCGGGCAGGTAGTATCGTCTTTCCTCCCTCCCTATATTACATGGCCACATGGAGGCTGCTTTCTGCATGGTATCAGCATCGCAACCCAGAGGGGATAGAAGGCTTCAGTTTTGCAGACAAGGAACTCAGGGCCTGAAGAAGCCATTAGCTACAACAGGCAGGTCTAGTGAAGCTGCACATCAAACACATCTCCCTGGCTCAGTCACTGCTGCCAGCGCACACTTGAGCTTTGTGATTGTGGCCTCAGTACCAGTTTCCTACAGGGGACTAAAAAAGCGCCTAGCCTGCTGGGACTTCACCAGCCTGCTAGACTTTAGCTGTGCACCACCCTGTGTAACCTTGGCTGAGCTACTCTTAGGCTGGATGCTTTGGTTTCCCCTTCTGTAAAACCCGAGGAAGCTGTTCACTGTGCAGAGCAGAGGGTAGCAGAAAAGCTGCGCTGGTGAATTAGTGTGAATTAGTGCACCGGTTAATTAATCAGTCAAACCTCCACTGTGTCTGTGGTAACCGCTCAGCTCATGTATACTGTGGCCCAGGTCCTAGACCACAGCCACCCTGTCCCTGGAGGTCTTGGTACAGCCACAGCTGGCATACAGAACTCGCACACCACGCAGTGCAGTTCCTGACACCTTGCCCACCTTGCTTTCTGTGTCCTTAGGATGTGTGACGCTGGGGAAGGACTCTACACCTTTCAGACACAGGAAGGGGAGCAGATTTACCAGCGGGTTCACAGTGCCACCCTGGCAATCGCTGAGCAGCACAAGCGGGTCCTGCTGGAAATGGAGAAGAACGTGAGGGTGAGGCAGTGGCTATTGTTCCAGGGCACTGGGAGGTGGGACAGACATGCCAGCTAATCTCCACCAGTCTGTGCACAGGTGAGTCGGGCAGGGCCCTGGGCTGGCAGCCCTGTTCCCGGAACTAACACAGGGGACCCCTTCTCTGTGCCATAGCTGCTGAACAAGGGCACCGAACACTACTCATACCCCTGCACACCCACCACGATGCTGCCCCGCAGTGCATACTGGCACCATATCACAGGCTCTCAGAACATTGCTGAAGCCTCTAGCTACGGTGAGTCATTGTGTCTCGTCCCTGTGGAGGCCTCCTGGGCAAGGGTCTTTGGTCCTGGATTCAAATTCTGAGCCTGGATTTCTGACCACAGGTGAAGGGTATGGGGCAGCCCAGGCCAGCTCAGAAACAGACCTCCTGAACAGATTCATCCTGCTTAAGCCACAGCCCAGCCAGGAGGACAGCAATGAGACCCAGACTCCTTCCCAGTGACAGCTGGACTGGGGGGCGCACTGACTGCTGGGTCACCCGTTGGAAGGCTAACTGCAGCAGCCCATGGACAGCCTTAAGGAGCTGTTGGCCAAGAGCCTGAAGAGAGCAAGCTGTCCCTCCTTGCCCTCCAGGGTGAGGCTGGACCTCAGCACATGGCTGGCCACACCACCTGAGCATGAGGGGCTGGAGCCACCGTGGGACTATATACTGTTAATGGTTTTAATATATATGGCTTATGACATATTCTGTATTAATGAGGCGTCCCTTTATCCCTCCCCAACACATACCCATTTTTAATTCCAAGACCAGGTGTGGTCAAAGCTGTTTTTGAGTATGAGGGCAGCTGTTCCTGTCCTCATTGAAAAAAACTCTCCTGCTGCCGAGACTGTTTAAGCTGCCAGGGTCAGAGGAGGGGAGCAATCAAATTGGTGCTGTCTGCGGGCTCTTCCTCAGAAGCCCAAGGGCCAAGACAGCAGGTAGCATCTGTCCTCTGGGCCAACAGTGACACAGGAAGGACCCAAACTTGACTGTACCATGTGGTAGCCTTGCACTTAGGAGTTTGAAGCAGAGGTGGAATCCGGTTTTAAAATGCACTTTCTGCACTGGCTCCTTCCTGCTCAGTGGGCTGAAGATGTCTTCGGGCAGGGCGCCTGTTACCTCAGCAGTAGAGAATGGCTGGGGCCAGCCTGGAAGGCTGCAGAACTGCTATGGGGAGCACCCTGCTGCCCCCCTTTACTGAGTGGGGGTATAATGCTGCAGCAAGGGGAGTCCCTTGCCCTGGGCCAGCCATCCCAGGCCAGATTCCAAAACCAAGACCTTCCCATCTCCCTACAAGGTGCTGAGGCTCCCTGCTGAAATGCAATTAAAGCAATCGATTTTCTAGTGCTGGTATTTATTGACTACCGTGCAGAAGGGCTATCTTTCTATTCACATCAAACCTTTTGTTGCGTGTTTGTTTTTTAATACTTTAGGGTTCTGATTTGTGGGAACAGACCTTGTAAATAACCGCTGTTCACATTTGTGGCAGGATAAGGAGGCCCCTCCCAGAGGGGCCCTAGAGCAGGCAGGTGACCCAGGTAATGACCACCCAGAGGTCAGCTTGTCTGCAGAAGAAATGGGCTCAAATCCTCGGGAGGGAGGCAGAGCTGGCTCAGTTAGTGGCACGATGACGCATGAAGGAGATTATGTTGTGCTCTTTATTGCCAAAAATAAAAACTTGTAAAAAGATAACTACTGTTGATCAATAAATATCCTTTCCTTTCTGTGCTGGTGTGGGCTTCTCCCCAGGCTGCCTGAAAACCATGGTGGGCAGGTTTGTTCCTATCTGGAGACCTGCTTAGGGCAGGGCCTGAACTTCACTGAAGAGAAAGGAAATGTGGGAGGGGCCTGTCATGCCTCCCCCCCCCCCCCCCCCAAGTCAGGTCAGAGAATAAAACAGCGAGTTCACCTGTGGACAGAGAGGATGGCCAGGATCTAAAACTAGTCCCAAAGGGTGACATCTCAGCTTAGGGACACCAGTAAGCTGGCCCGGACCCTGACCCAACACCAGAAGCCAAGTAGGCTGTGAAAGCTCCTCTCCCTGGACAGAGATTTAAACAGCTGGACTGACCAGGTATCTAAGTCAGCTCTCGACTAGGAAGCAATAGGGCCCCTATTGCTAGTGAGCTAGGAAACAGGTTGGAAGGGATGTCTGGGGTTCTGAGGAATACCACAGTGATCAACAAGGTAGGCCAGGGATGCTAAATGCCTAGTGAAAAACTGCCTTGCCTAATACCAGCGGAACCCTGGCAATCTCTCCGGGAAGCTTGAGCAACTGCAGTCCAGAGCCTTGAAACCAGAAAGCTTCTCAAGACTTGAAGTCCAGTGGTCACCTTGAACCTAGTCTTCTGCAGCGGGTGAGCTGTGGCTAGTTTATGGTGAGCACGTCACTCTGGATCTCATGACTTAGCTGAGTCTGTAAGTCACTCAGCTTCTTCTTTAACCCAGAGAGGGCTGAGAGGACAATGGTTTCAGGGCGCAGTGAGCCACAGGACTCCACATTGTAGTAAAACCTGAGGGACAAGAGGAGGGTGAGAGCCCTCGTGAGGTAGGCTTCCCTTCTAGCCTGTGAGACTTGATTTCATTCCTACGAGGCACTTGGGACAGGGCTGACTTCCCTTTACCTAAAACCTCTTCTGCAGAGTGGTCCAGATCCACTTTGCAGTTCCTCAGGGAAGCTACAGCTGCTTCAAAAAGGCACTGTTGAGCTGGGCAGTGGTGGCAAACACAAGCCTTTAATCCTAGCACTTGGGAGGCAGAGGGAGGTGGATCTCTGTGAGTTCAAGGTCAGCCTGGTCTAAAGAGCAAGTTCAAGGACAGCAAGGGCTACACAGAGAAACCTTGTGTTGAGGGGGGAAAAGGCATTGCTGAAAAACTCTAAAATGACTGTACGTGCATTTCTACATTGGAGACAGCAGGAAAGAGGAAAAAAAATCATACATGACACTGGCCACAGCTCTCCAGTTGCTTCAGGATAGGGCTATGGTCAGTTCTGCTCTGGCATGAGCCTGAACAGACAGGCCAGAAATAGATAGCATGGGGCAATAATAAGGCCCTTTCTTCATGGTAGCTAGAGAGGAATGAGGACCAACTCAGAATGTATAATGTAAATTTGAAAGGTAATTATCCTGTTACATGGGGGGGTGGGAGGCTTGGACATGTGACTGCCTAACAGCCTCTCCCATCTATATTCTTACAATTACAGTTCCAAGCAGGACTGGGCCTTACCTCTCTGGCTTGCCATTGGGGTCATAGGGAGCCTGAGACTCATCCTCATCAAGCTCAGAGTACTCGCTCTTTGGCCTGAGGACAAGCATGGGCAAAGCACAAGTGGTTATTTCTGCTTTCAGCAGGGCCCTCAGAGCACCTACCTACGGCATCTCTAATTACAATCATCGCTGGTACCCCCTCCCCCCACAACATACCATTCCTCGGGCTTGGGATACACCGTGTGCCTAAGTGCATTGTCTGGGTCATATTCAAAAGCCACCCCTGCAGTAGGGTTCCACTTGGCATGTTCCTTGCCAAAGCCCTTCTTGGCATAGGCTCGAAGTCTCAGCTCCTGGCCCTTCCTCAGCTTGACAATAAGGATGTCTGCAGGGAGAGGGGAGTGTGAGTCAGAATCCAAAAGAGGCCAGCTCTCCAACTTCTGACTGCAGTACTGCATGAAGAAACCCATATCTGGGCAAAGGGGTCTAAAGAGATCAGGCAGCCCACAAGAGGATAGATCTGGTCTCTGTTTCCTCTGGCCACCAGCATGCATGCGCCACCCCTTACCATCCTGCCCCAACCCCTTACCATCCTGCTCCACATAGTCATTGGGGTCGTTATCCCGGTTCCGGGATGTCACCTGTAGGAATCCCAAACAAGTAAACATTAGCCTCTCACCTCTCAGTCCCCTGGCAACTGTCTCCAAGTAAATCCAAGCTGTAATCTGTCAAGTCAGGGAAAGGAGGCCCGAGAAGGAGATGGCACAGTTGTCCAAACAGTCTGACGGCCTTTAAGAGAGTCTTTGGACAACATAGGGAACATGGAACCAATACTGCTCTGTTCAAAACCCGGGACCAGCACTTGTAGGTGGCAGTTAAAGTTGATGGTCATAGGGCAGGTGACTTTATGACCACATCTCATAAAGATCCACTCCAATCCATTTGACTCGGAGCCAGAGAGAGAAGAGCAAAGGCACTGACCGGAATAACCCGAGGGCTGTTGGAGATGAGATCCCGAGAGGTAACGTGGCGAGTCTGGTCTTCATTGCACCTCACGTCAAGAGTGAATTCCACGGAGCACTCAGGGCAGAACTCTTCGCACGTGCAGTCCTGAGATAGGAAGGGCAACAGGAACAAGGAGTCTGGACTCCCTGCTTCTACTAACCAGCTTCTATCAGTTTCTTCTTGGTGAAAAGGGGCTGACCACAGTCCCAGGCCTCTTCTGGGCTGTGACATCTAGGAACCATCCTCTCAGTTGCTCAGCTTATAGATAACATGTCTACAAGCTGGCAACCACACTTGCTTTCCACGGCCATTGCTGCAGGCTACCACTAGGGGACACACTGCTTACACAGCAGTGTCCAAGCAGGACTGCTTCAGAGGATCAGGGTTGTCATGGGACTATCTACCCGCAGTGCACTCTGCAGACCAGCTGGGGAATTACTGAAAATACAGTAAGTAAGGGAAGAATTGAAAAAACAAAACATCTCTCAAGATCCAGACTACTTGGAATAGAAAGTCCTCCTGTGGCCCAGGCTAGCCTGGAATTCACTATGTAGCTGAAGATGAACCTTAAACTACTGATCCCCGTTATCACTTCTCAAGTGCTAGGATTACAGGCATGGGCCACAACATCCAGCAAATCTTTATTTCAAAATCTCTTAAGGAAAATTTCACCCATATAGAAAAACAGAGAGGACTGATTGCCACCTATCATATACCCACCTTCCAGCTTCCTTAATCATCAACACTTGCCATTCTTTTGGAGACAGGGTCTCTCTGTAGATTTGGATCCTGTCCTGGAACTAACTCTTGTAGACCAGGCTGGTCTCGAACTCACAGAGATCCGCCTGCCTCTGCCTCCTGAGTGCTGGGATTAAAAGTGTGTATCACCACTGCCTGGCCCGTGTGTTCAAGTATTAAGAAGAGAAGGGTCAGGATGCTTTTAATTTATTTTCTAAAAGGTTAGGTAAAAATAAGGCAAATGTAGCAAAACATTAGCATTAACTAACTACAGAGAAAAAAATTAAATGGGTGTTTATTGATATTTCCCAGACAGGCATGGTGGCACACGCCTTTAATCTCAGCACTCAGGAGGCAAAGCAGGTGGATCTCTGGAAGTTCAAGGCCAGCCAAGGCTACACAGTAAGACCCTGTCTTAAAAAAAAGAAGAAGAATAAATGGGAGGTAGGGGGATTGGCGGTGCTGGAGAGATGGCCCAGCTGTTAAGAGCACTTGCTGCTCTTGCAGAGGACATCAGCTCAGGTCCCAAAATCTTTATCCAGTAGCTCAAAACTGCCTGTGACTCTAGTTCCGAGGGCTCTGGTGGCCTCTTCTAACTTTTTCCAGCACCCTAACCACCATGTACATATATACATAGAAGCAGAAAAAATACACATAAAAGTGAAAAAACTATCTTTGAGGAGATGCCTGGATGTGCTAAGAACATAATCATTCTGAAGCCCCATCAGAACCAAGGAGCACGGTATTAAAGCATCATTTCCACAATGGTTTTCTAAGTCAGCAGCACAGCTGGAATGCTATTGGAAGGAAGATGTCCACAAAGATCCCTGGGAGAACTAGCCAGCAGCACCCTCTACACACACACACTTCCCGTGCCTCCAGCCTACCCCCCAACACACATACCCGGGAGTACTGCAGTTTGTCCACAATGTCATCACTAGTGAGGGGGATCAATCCTGCAAGACACAGAAAAGTGTTTCGTAGAATGGCCAAGCCATCACAGGAACCTACAAATAAGTCCCTCGGGCTGGGGACAGGAAGCACCCCACTTTAATCCCTTCCATTTCTCAATGCCCAAACTCACCAAGCCTGTGAGCAATGAACTCATCATGAAGGACTGAGGAATTGGCATCAATCTGAACCCAATCGATGGCTGAAGAAGCAAACAAAACAGCACGAGTGAGATTAATCACCACCTGAGCCTCTGGCATTCAGACCTACAGCACTGTTTTCTTTTTCTTTCTTTCTTTTTTTGATTTTTTTTTTAAATATTTATTTATTATGTATACAATGTTCTGTCTCTGTGTATGCCTGAAGGCCAGAAGAGGGCACCAGATCTCATTACAGATGGTTATGAGCCACCATGTGGTTGCTGGGAATTGAACTCAGGACCTTTGGAAGAGCAGGCAATGCTCTCAACCACTGAGCCATCTCTCCAGCCCTTTTTTTTTTGATTTTTGAGACAGGGTTTCTCCGTAGCTTTTTTGGTTCCTGTCCTGGAACTAGCTCTTGTAGACCAGGCTGGCCTCGAACTCACAGAGATCCGCCTGCCTCTGCCTCCCGAGTGCTGGGATTAAAGGCGTGCGCCACCACCGCCCAGCTCTACAGCACTGTTTTCAAGACTGAAGTATTACTCAGTGCTCAGCACTCAAAAGGCAAAGGCAGGCGGATCTCTGTGAGTTTGAGGCCAGTCTGGTCTATAGAGAAACCCTGTGTCAAAAAAAATAAAAAATAAATAAAAAAGAATCACTGTGTGACTCCAGGCATCTAATTTAAACAAAACACACACACACACACACCCCATACCTAACTGCCTCCAGTGAATTGGATATAGGGCTTGCTGGTACTGTACAAAGAAATGCTCACTTAGAAAATACTGTGGGAGAAGAATATTTAGGGAGTTGAATATTTCCCTAAAGAGGACTTTAAATTTGCTATCAGTGTTAATGTCAAATCCAAGAACAAAAGCTATTTGGGCATTTAAAAGTCGGGGAAAACCAGGGTTGAAGGAATGGCTCAGTGGTTAAGAGGATCCCAGCAACCATGTCAGATGGCTTGCAACTGTCTGGAACCCTAGCTCCAGGAGGATCTGAGACCCCTGGCCTCCTCTGGCATCTGCCTTTGCCTGCAAATACCTACAAACAGAGACATAATTAAAATAATTTAAAAATTTAAAAGTTAGGAAAAACATCCTAGAACTAACACTGTGCATGGTCCATACTCATTTTAGATATAAACAGATCGATCACCCATTTAGGATTTCAGTGTTACTCCCATTAGAGGATGGTCACTGAATGTCTTCAATAGGGAAGGAATAGTAAAATAAAACCCAATTCCTTCTAGTTCATTGCTGAGAGTATAGGACTGTGTGCTTAGAGGCTTCACTTAAACATGTATCTAGTTACTCATAAGCAAACACCTGCATGTAAACAATGAAATTCAGAAATCAAATGGTGCTAGAGCCCAATTCTCAAATAACTCGCGTGGACTTAAGGAAAAGAGGTCAATGATGGGCCCAACCTGCTCTGCCCTGCTGTACTTCCTCAACCCAAGCAAGGACCACATCCAGGTTTTCCCATGTCCTTAATCTACCTCCCATCATGCCCATCCTCACACATTGAAAACTGAAAACTGCCAGCCTCTAAAAATCTGTGTGTCTACAGATGCTGCTACTCCCTTAGAACTCCTTCCACTCAAAAAAAAAAAAAAAAGATAAAAAGAAAAGACAACCCGTTCAGATTCCCCTAAAGACACCTGTCATATTTTGCCTTGTGTTTGTCCACGTCTTGTTTCTACATCTTACTCGGAACTTAGATGATCTACACATGCAGTGAAAATAAGAGATCCATTAAAAAAGACACTTACCAGAACAGATGAAGAAAATATAATATTACACACACATATGCACAAACACGCACGCACACTGGGTATCATTCAACCGTAAAGAACAAAAGTATGTCATTTGCAGGAGGAAGTCATAACTCTTATGTGGAATCTCAACTTTTAAGAAGGGAGAATTTGGGGCTGGAGAAATGGCTCAGAGGTTAAGAGCATTGGCTGTTCTTCTGGAGGTCCTGAGTTCAATTCCCGGCAACCACATGGTGGTTCACAACTATCTATGAAATCTGGTGCCCACTTATGGTATGCAGGCATACATGCAGACAGAACACTGTATACATAATAAATAAGTCCTTTAAAAAAAAGGGGGGGGGAGTGGTTCAGGGTCTGCGAGATGGATCGGCCGAGTAAAGGCACTTACTTGTCAAGATCCCTAGGACCCATATGGTAGAAGAGAATCCCACCCACAAACTGTACTGTGACCTCCACACATGCACTGTGGCACTCTTGTGCCCAGGGACATACAAATATACATAAATAAATACAACGTTTTAAAGAAGAAAGAGGGAGAGACAAGAAAATATAGCAAGGTACTATCAGGAAAGACGGGGGGAGGGGGAGTGGGGGGTGGAGACCAGTGGGAGGGGAATAAAAGGACGGGATTGAGGAATAACAATCCAAATACTCTGTGTGTGTGTGTGCGTGCGTGAACAAAAATGTCACGACGAAACCCATTATTTTGTACAATTAACATACATTTTCAAAAGACACCCAGTAGTACCCCAACACTGACTTAAAAAGTCAAGGCGCGGTATCTTTTCGACTTTGGTAATCCCGGGTATCAACTGCTAACGACTTCCTATCGTCTACCCCCTACGGATGAGGAGGCCGCAGCTCTCAGCTGTTTAACAGTGTTCGGTCCTAATTTCTGTTGCTTTGGGGTAGACGGAACAGTGCTGGAAGCCAGGCTGCTGAGCACGGCACGCACCGAGGCTGGCCTAGGCGGCCCCAGGCCACCGGGCAACACCGCGGTGTTCTCAGCCCCCCTACCTGGAGCAGAGGGCCGGTGGCAGGGCCCCGAGGGAGGGTCGCATACCTATTATGGGCACCTCGGCGATGAAGACCCTCCGAATGGAATTGGCCACCCTGCAGGAGGAAAGTCAGGCAGTGTGAGCGGCCCTGAAGCCACAGCCCGGCAGGAGGCCCGAGCACCCGGCCGCCCGCTTCTCCCCTCGTCGCCTTACGCCAGGTCCGTGTTCTCGATAATGAACTTGACGTTCTCTTCGGTGAGTTCCGTGATCCGCACGGTGGGCTGGTTGGCGTAAGGCATCGCGACCTGCAGCCAGCCTCCCGCGCCGGTCCCGCGGCGCGCCTGCGCGGTCACCAGCAATTTGTCGGCGGGGTTCCCTGCGCTTCCGGCTAGACGTGCGCGCAGCGCCACCCGCTGACTGGAGGCCGGAACTCTCCTGGCCTGCGTTTTCTAACTATTCTCTCCAAAATGCACCAGGCCCTAAGCTCTTGAAATCCCCAAGATACATAGCACAAAACTACATGTACGAGGTTATTCATGCCAGTACTATTTGTAATTGCTAAAAATAACGTACTTGGATTGGATTCCCAGCACCCACATGGCGACTAACGTCTTAACTCGACCCAACGGGCCCTCTTCGGGCATCTGAGGGCACCGAGTATACACATGGTGCACAGACATGCATGTAAGCAAAATATCCATATACATAAATAATTCTAAAAACTCTGCTTGCTGTCCTTGGGTCTGTTTGTAAAGCTTTCAGCTACTTCTCCAGCACCATGCATGCCGCCATGCGCCCCACCATGACGATAAGGAACTAAGTCTCTGAAACTTTATGAAGTGAGGAGACATTTGACTAGTGTGTGAGGGCTTCACTTACTAATCTGAAAATTTGACACACTTGTTTGAGGGAACATCTGCTGGTTTCTGAAAGAGGGATCAAGGCTCGGAAGGTTCTCAGAGGGGCCATGTGAAGATTCGTGCAGGTTTCACCTCATTAAAGAAACTTCTCTTTGCAAAAGATGGAGACCATTACAAAAAAACAAAACAACCTCCCCCAAAAAACAAATAAAAACCTTCCACAACGAACAACGCAGGCCAGGAGAGTTCCGGCCTCCAGAGAACAAGCCTGGTGGTGGTGGTGGTGCATGCCTTTAATCCCAGCACTCGGGAGGCAGAGGCAGGCGGATCTCTGTGAGTTCTAGGCCAGCCTGGTCTACAAGAGCTAGTGCCAGGACAGGCTCCAAAGCTACAGAGAAACCCTTCTCGAAAAACAAAAACAAAACAAAACAAAAAACCCCAAACAAACAAAAAAAACGCAGAGAACAAGAGATTGTTGGGTGCCCAGTCTCAACTGCTATATCTACAACTAATTCAACATCTGAGGCCCAGGGATCATTGTGGAAGAGGGAGTGGAAAGCTTGCAACAGCCAGAGGAACATTAAGTTTGCCATGAGATAAAGTCTCCTAGAAAAGTTAGAAACACCACACATGATGAAGTCCCACCAACAGGACTGCCTAAAGGAGACATGAACAATGACACCAATGGACATTCTAACACGGAAGAGGGAGGGAGCTCAATTCTACATAGACCCGGGGGTGCTGCAAGTGGGAGAAATAGCCTACCTCAGGGAAGGGCCCTGCAGTGGGTTATCCAATAGAGTATCAAACGCCCTGAGATCATATAAATAATATTATAAGGCCTGAGCAGGTTGTATTTATGTATTAGGAATGTGTATGTGTGACAATAACTAACAAGACAGGACATGAGTTTGAGAGGTGTATGGAAGGAGTGGGAAGAAAGGGAAAGGGGAAATGATGTGACTATAACATAATTCTAAAAATAAAAATTATAAAAATAATTAAAAATGCAACGAATAGGATTACAAGGAAACCCTTTTTAAAAATGAAGTTGCACACAGATAAACAAGAGGGCTGACCCAAGTGTGTAAAACGATTTATGTGGGAGAATGAGGACCCAAGTTCCAATCCTCAGAGCTCATAGGAAGCAGGGCACGGCAATGCAGGGCACAGCAATGCAGCGCTGCAGTCTTAGTGCTTTCAGCTGGAAGGTGGAGAGAGGGGAACCCCTGGAAGTGCTCCACCAGCTAGATCCTGTACAAAGGAAGTTCTCAGGCCAGTTGAAGTACTATCACACAGACACAGACACACACACACACTCACATTCAGCTAGAGCGCTGTATTTTACTATGTATGTGTATGTACACGATGGTGTCAGCACATGATGTATGTAGAATCAAAGGACAACGTGGGAATCAATCCTCTCCTTCCACCAGGTGGGTCCCTGGGACTGAACTTAAGATGTCAGGCCTGATTGCTAGTGCTCTCACCCACTGAGATGCCTCAAAGGTCCCCAAAGTATGCTTCAGCAATGATACACACACTTCCTTTCTACTCTTGCTCGTCCGATGTTCTTCTGAAGATACAATGTTCTCCACATCTCCAGATCTGTGTGGTTGCACCTGAGGAGTTTAAATGGGCCTCACAAAAGCGGCAGCTGCTCATACTGAGAAAAGAGGCCCTTAAACAGAACCCCGAGGGAACTACACCCAGGGCAGCAGTTACCAGAGAAGAGTTTGCTGAAACGAGTGACATTTCTTCCTGCGATAGAGGAGGCCTGCTCCATAGCACACACCATCCCAGTGAGCTATGAATCACGTTTGTCTGCTCAGAGAGAGGGATGCTAAAAAGGATAAAGTGTAATGGCTACGGCAGTAATTCCATGGGATGGCAAGAGGCAAAAAAAGAAAAAAAAAATCAGAGGTACAGAAAGAGCCCGACAGAAAGCCTATGAGACAAAACCTGAAGCTTGACTTTCCCCATCAGTTGACTTAAACAGGAGAACAAAGCAGAAGACAGTGCTAACCATGGGGTAAAGGAAGCCCAGCCAGCATAGAGGACTATGAAAGCGAAGGACTGCCCTTAGAGACCAAGTGTAGACAAGGGAGCTCATGGCCTGGGGAGAGTTTTTATCCTTGTTTGACTGAGAGAATACTTAGGTCCAGAATGCAGAGCTGTCACAGTGACCCTGAAGGTATAAGGCAGTGCCGAGGCCAGAACTCAGGCCTCTTCCACACACTACTGTCTACTGCTGGGGTCTAGGATACTTAACATTGTCTAGATGGAAACTGGACAACAGGATATTGTTTCAAACATATTTATTATTTTTACAGATTCTAAATACACTAGTGACCTTGTGATACATTCTGGTATCTGTGATGCCAGGCCTGGGATCACATTTCTGGCCAGGTTCAGCATGACTGTCCAGAAGGCACCTGTCTCAGGGGAGGCAGCTTTCTGAGGGGACCCAGACGAGCAATGGTCAGTAGCAAATACCTCTGTGAGCACACTGTCTGTCCTGCACTGGGGAGGAGCTGCTGCTGTGTGGTGGTTTCTGTCCCTGGCTGTGAGCTCCTAAGAACTTTTCTCAGATTTTGTTTGAGACAAGCCTGGCTTTGAACTCTCAATCCTGCTGTGGCAGTCCCCTGAGTGGTGAGAATATAGGTTACCATGCCCAGCTCCCAGAGAGCAGTTCTAAGGTCAAGGCATAATCAAGATGCCTGAGACTACGGCAGAGTCATGCCAAGTTTCTGTGGCTTGAAAGCTTGGATTTAAGTCTCATTTTTCAGTCACACAGTTGCAATGCAGAAAGGCATCGGGGGCCAGGTCTGGTATTAGGAACTGAAGAAGTGGCCCGATACCAGATTAGAACAGGAGCAAGTGCACTGTGATTTCCGGCCTCATGGCTATCATCGTAACTCCAAGTTCCTCCCTGTGTTCTCGTTAACATCTTGTTTGATGGATGGTGCATCTTGTCAAAGCCCGTCATATGTACTGCTGCTCCTTCCAGGTACGTGGGTTCCCCTTTCTCTCATCGGCGCTGGTTTAGACCTGTTAGGTTCTTGAGCTAACACAGGGACAGAAACAGAGAGAGTGGTGAGGCTTGTCTTACCTCTAAGGCTACAATGGGAATCCCTGGGTTATTCAAGGTAGTAGGTACAATTATGACACAGATTCAAGCATTCTGGGGACTCAGAGGCAGAAGTGATTTTTTTTTTCTTTTTTGAGAAAGCTTGTCATATAGCCAAGCTGGCCTGGAACTTTTTATCCTCCTGCCTCAGCATAATGAGTGATGGAATACAGGTTTGTACTGCCTCTCCAACCAAGCTCTAGCAACTGTTTCTTGATGCCAGCAAAGACGGGGTGGGGTATTCATTTGAGAATAAGATACCAAGACTAAACCAAGATCAGCTTTATGCAGCTTGCAAGCCAAAGCTATTTGGGTTGACATGTTACAAACAGCCCAGGACCAGAGTGGAGTGGGAGGCAGGCAGTGGTGAACTGGGCAGGACTTACCGTGACCGCTGCACCCATCAGTCCTTGCACCAGTGCTTCTCCAGTGGACTTCACCTAAGAGGGGTCTGGGTCAGATTCTGTTAAGCCCGAGTGAGCTCAAAGGGGAAACAGAAAGGACAACTGAGGAAGCCTACAAGCCCGACAGTGGAGTCAAGATGGATTAATGTACTGGAAAAGAGCCTACGAACAACTCGGGCACAGACGGAGCAGACAGCCTCAAACTCACAGAGATCCACCTGCTTTTGCCTGAGTGCTGGAATTAAAGGCGTGCACCACCACCACCTGACAGACAGTAGACTTTTAAGGGCTAGCATGAGGAAAAAACTGCCAGCCTCTTTGGGGAGGCCTTTGGGACTGTCAGTTAAGAACAGGAAGCAAGAGAACAGCCAGGTGATCACGTGTGGTTTTCGGCCAACAGGGTGTGCCTACTGAAAAGGATTTCCAAATGTCCAGTCCCCAATTACCTGCTTAGCTGTGTGACCCATGTTCATTGCATCATTAATCCGGTTTTCCAGGAAACGCCAAGTATCTTCAAAGTCCGGGGAGGAGTCCTGCATCATCACCAGCTCTGTTGTGTTGTAGATGCCAGCCAGCACCGCACGGCGGGTGTACCAGTTAAACTGCAGAGAGACCCACCCAGCAGGCAGGAAATCACTGCTCTGTGCGCAAAGGAAGTCCTGGGTTTTTCTCACTTAAGACCTCAGGGACTCCCAGGCTCCCTCCTCATTTCCCCTCTCTCTCACTGACACACATGGCCCTCTGGACACCACTACTGCTCTGAACTTGGCTGGGCATCAAAGCTGTCTGTGAGATGAAAACTGTAAGCTCCTGGTCCCAACCTCCTAGGCTGAGAGTTAGAGAGTGTGAATTAAACACTAGGAACCAGGATTTAACCAGCAGCCAAGGTGATTTGACTGGTGAAGTGCCGAGTCCTGGGGAGGGTCTACAATCCAACAGTCACGACTAAACCACATGGGGAGGGCTGCCGCAGGATCAGGGACAGGTTATAACATCTGGATGAAGCTGAGAGTTCGAGTCCCCGGTGACTTCTGCCAGCTCTGGAAATTGCTCTTCAGAGGACTAGCTCAGCTACCCAGTGCTTTATTCCTTTAATTTCTTTGCTCTCTAATTTTGTTTTCCACCATCTCTGTTGGTGGTATATTCCCACACAGAGAAAGTTTATTAAAGCACTTCGTTACAAGTATGGAGGGAGGATGTATCTGTGCACCTTGCCATCCCTGAGACTTCAAAGTACTATTACATTTTAATTTCCTTTATGAAGGTGTATATATATTTTAATATCCCACCAGAAATATGGAAGCATTTAACAAGTTATATTCTTCCTGGTGCCTCCTTATAGAGGCTTATTGATCTCTCAGCAAAATGGGTCAAGATGGGGGAGGAGTTTCTTTGAAAAGCAGTGTCTCAAAGTCAGTCTCAGCAAATGAAGACACGGGGGAATCTGATGCAGAATCTATGTCTCAGGAGACTGAGGGGAAATGGTTATGATAGAGCAGCCCTGTCATAAGGCCCCAAGGTCTGTGCCCCCTCCACAAGTGGGAGGGAGAGTCAATGGTTCATGCTCAAATGCTGGTCACCAGATGACAATGATCCACATGTCACTCTGGCTCATCAAAGACCTTTCTTCCTGAGATGGGAATAACACTGCTGCCCTTCCAGACTTTTCATCAAAGAAATTTCACAAACTTCAAGAAACACCTGGCCCAAGCCTTTGCTAGCAAGCTATGGGCCTACAGAAAATACTCACATCAGTGGACTGGTCCCCAGCATAGTGCCACATGTCATCCACCATGGTGGTGAGCAAGTTCAGGCTGGGCGGGATGTTGTGAGGAAGCAGGAGGATGCTGAGGGCCTGAAGAACAAATGACAGAGGAGGTACTGCATGCAGGAAATGGCAGCACACACAGGACTCACATGGGGGGGGGGGTGTCACAGAGGACAGTCTAGTTCTTGCTCTTTGAAACCCATTATGGGTGGATGTAGCAGCAAGAAACCCTGACTAGAGGTGATGGGGCCAGGGGCATGGTTTTGTCCTAAGAAGACCTAATTAGAGTCTCCGGGCCAACATTTGAAACTGGGAATACTGACAGCTGAAGGGGTCACTCATGTACAAGAGTCCTGGAAGCAAGGATGGAAAGGGTACCTCATTCAGTCACAGTAGATTCCTGTTTCCACAAAAACAAATCTTCCCAGTTGACACTAGTGCCAGAACCAATCTGAGAGTCTCCCTTATAGCAAATACCAGCTTCTCCAGGCCCGACAGAACAAGCTCTCGACACTTTACCAACTCTATAATCCTCTGGGCTGGCGAGAGGTCCTTCACTAGCGGGAAAGTGTTCACTAGCAAAGGGCCCAGAAGGCAGCAGTGTGCTGACTGAGGCAGGCAGCTGACACCCAGTACTGCTCTGCTCGGGCTTTATGAGCTCTAGGTGGTCAAAGTCTGTCAGCTGGCTGACCAAGGTCACACACTCAAGTCTTCCAGCTGGACATAGGATACTGGGTGCTTGAGTCATCCTCGTTGTTGATGTAATTTTTAACTCAGAAAAAGGCCACACTGTGACATGCTTCAGAAAGGAGAAAAATGGAGGCAGTCCTTGGAATGAATACTCCTTTGGCAAGCATTACCCTAGCAATACACCAAGAAGCCTAGTACTCAAGACCTGAAACACGACAACACTCAATGAGTAAAGATGGCTGATACAAGCTCCTGACTGTTCTGACCTTGCTCAAGGAAGACTGCTCCTCCTTGAAGACCTGATGGCACACTCAGGCTACTGGGTCTACCTGTGATATGAACTAGTATGCATGGCCACTCACAGGTCCAGGATCTTGAAGTCGCTCCCTATGGTGCGCCCTAGCAGTAACCGAGCTCTGCCAAGTGTGCTAGGCTTTCCTGGCCCTATGGTAAAGACTCATGAACTAGCTTCTCAGCAGTGTACATGGTGAGGGGGTGGGGGTGGGATATCATTACTGTTGCTCTGGAACTTTAACATGGACTGTGTACCCGGGGCCAGTGCTCAATGTAGGGGATCAGCATTCTCAGTCTGGTTTCCACTGCATCCCTCAGGAACTGGTCTGTCTTCCTCTTCCTGGAAGAGGGAAAGAAAACAGTATGTCACTAGCTCAAAAGCAGGGGCAACACTGCCTACTCAGTCCCAGCAGCGCCTGAGGAAAACTGTCACTCAGGCTGCTGATTGCAGACCCATCTAAGCTGCAGGGTATTAGCACTGCTCTCTTGGTGTTTCTTGTATCCGCATCCTGGGGGACAATTGCTAGGGCAAGAGGCCCACTCCATGCTGCGACTTACTCTGCCTGGCCCAACTGCACCAGCTTCTGCTCCTCTTCCAGTATGTGGGTAAGGCGAGCATTGCACTGGGTAACAAAGTGCAGAATCAGCTCACTGCCGTCACTCCCAAACATGCTGGCTGCTGCGCTGGAGAGACCCAAGGACTATAGGAGAGACAGCAGAAAAAGTGAGTAAGCATATTGGGGCTGAAAGCACAATTATCACAACACCTCTTTCCTTAACAGGGACTGCATTTTCAGCGGAGACCCCTGGCTCTCGCTCTGAGCTCATGTGATTTTAGGGACCAGCACTGGTCCACCGAGCCCTTTAGTTTATGCATGGCATGGCTCCAGGCTTGCATGCTGGAGTTCAGTGCCTGGCTGGGGGAGGGGGGGGGGCGGGGGAGGTGGGTGCATGACCAAATACAGAAATCAGGAATCTACCTTAGGAATTTTGCTTAGTATGGAAAGGTTCTAGTTTCATTTTTGTTGCTGTGACAATACCCCAGCACTCTGGAGGCAAAGACAGGCGGGTCTCTGAGTTTGAGGCCAGCCTGGTCTACAGATCAAGTTCCAGGGCAGGCTGGGTTACACAGAGAAACGCTGTCTGTAAAAAACAATCAAACATGGAGGCTGGAGAGATGGCTCAGCAGTTAAGAGCATTGCCTGCTCTTCCGAAGGTCCTGAGTTCAATTCCCAGCAACCACATGGTGGCTCACAACCATCTGTAATGAGGTTTGGTGCCCTCTTTAGGCATACATGCAGATAGAATATTGTATACATAATAAATAAATATTTAAAAAAACCAATCAAGCCGGGCGGTGGTGGCGCACGCCTTTAATCCCAGCACTCGGGAGGCAGAGGCAGGCGGATCTCTGTGAGTTCGAGACCAGCCTGGTCTACAAGAGTTAGTTCCAGGACAGGCTCCAAAACCACAGATAAAACCCCGTCTCGAAAAAACCAAAAAAAAAAACAAAAAACAAAACAATCAAACAAACAAAACAAAAAAACCCAGAGCAACATGGGAAGAAAGAGTTTATTTGGCTTCCTATTCCAGGTTTTATATACAAGAACTCAAGTAGCTAGTCTTTTCACATCTACAGTCTAGAGCAGAGAGAGACAGGTCTACCCACTCTAGTTGCTTGTTTGATGTTGCTTAGTGCCCAGAGAGCTTTCTCTGCACTTACAGTGAAGAGCTCATCTCATGAAATGGTGCCGTTCACATTCACCTCAATTAATAATCCAGACAATCCCCCAGAGGCATGCCCACAGGCCAACCTGATTTAGATCAATTTCTCAGTCAAGGATTCTCAGGTGACTCTAGGTTGTGGAAAGTTGGCAACTAAAAACTAAGCATCACGGGAGGGACAGTCCTCTTTCTACTGGACTGCTGCTCCACTTCAGCCCGCATGGGAGCCTGCTGCAAAGGAGCCCAAAAAAAACCATGCGATGATCCCCCCTGGTGAACACATCATAGTAACACCGACTGTGACACTGGACCAGGCTCCTTCTGGACTTTCCTTCATTACAAGGGTCAAAATACCCCTTTCTATCATAGGCCAGTTAGAGCTGAGCTGTAGCACTGAACCCGGGGCTCTAGCCAACTCTGCTCAGAGAGAATACTCTCTTCCTGACATGCTCCCTTCACCCAGAGCTCCAGCACAGTGGGCCTGATAGGTTCTGTCTTTCAATCATTCAATTACTTTTGTAGGGTGGGGATCAAACCTAGGGTCTGCGCACAGTAAACCAGCATTCGGCCACCAAGCTACAGCCCAAGCTCCTGTCAGATGTTTAAACACACTTCTTTCCATTAGAACCACTGAGGTGCTAAACAAGTCAGAGACAGCCTTTGTTTTCCTGATCCATACTGTTGAGCATCTACTGGAGACAGGAACAGGAACAGACAGCAGGAAAGGAACAAAAGTATGTTACTATGACTTCCTCCTGCAGGGCAGGGGAACTGCCTCTCTTCTGTAGGCGAGCAGGGCCATGAAGGAGAGAGCAGCAGTGCTGACGTGAATGACTGCAGGCCGCTGCACACATTACACACGCCATCTCACCGCCTCCGCGTACTAGCGGGACAGGTTGTGGCTATAGTTCACAAACCAGGAAACTGAAGCTTACAGTTTTCACCCACAAACTGAGTCGGCAGTCTATGGTTATCATGTACTCGGTATGAAAGAAGGTAAGAGGAAAAGCCAGTTAACAGAGGGTACCGTTTCGTTCAATTTTTCCAAACAATCCTATTAATTTCTCTCTCATTTGTGAAATCTCTATCAATTTGTTCCCTCCCCCAGAAATTTCTGCTTCCTCCTATTCCTTACCAACCTTATGTTCCCCAAGCTATCACATGTACTCTGAAAAGAAATCAAAAGCCATTCTGTGGGAATTCCCTTAATGTTTAGAAACTAAACCCAGTGAGTTTGAGACTATTCTAGTCTACATAATGAATTCCAGGATAGTCAGGCTATATGGAGAGACCATGTCTCTCTCTTTCTCTCTCTCACACACACACACACGGGGGGGGGGGATAACGCAACGCTATCTTCTCCAATAATGTGTAAGGCCAGTCCTTCCACCCGTTTTCCAGATCTTGCAACTCTTGCCTTAGGAATCTCATGGTTTTGATTTTGCCTGCCGCCTTCTATTATCTCCACCATCTCTTGTGCTTCATTTTTCCCCCATGCTCAACCTCCATCCTGCTTCTGTGCTTGACACAGTCTTCTCTACTTCCTCAGTGTCACAGCCCCTTCCCTCTGACTTCTGACGCAGGACCCCAATAGCAATCACTATAATAGCTGATTGCTAGCTGTGGAGGATATCTTTTGTTCTCTCTCCAGTACCGAGATGCTCTAACCCAGAGCTACTCCCATACCCTCCCTTCCTCTCTAGCCCTTCTCTTGATGGGCTCTCAATACATAGCCCAGGCAGCCCTCAAACTTGCAGCAGTCCTCCTGCCTCAAAGTCCCACATGCTGGGGTTAGCGGTGTAAGGCACCACATAAAGTGGGATTCTCTGCGCTTTATGCTCTTGCATACACTCACATCCACACACGCTACAATACTCAAACAGCCATCTGCAGTCCTCCTTGCTCCTCTGGTGCAGAACCATTATACAGGCTCGATACCTCCAGCCTGGAGGAGGGATGGATGGAAACAAACCAAACAGTACAGAAGACAAAATGCTAGGCCCAGATAGTGAAGCGCGGGAAGAAGTATATCCCTGCCCCTAGTTTCTGCATAGAATCAGAACAGCTGTCAAACTTAACAACATTAAGCCTAAGGCCAGCGGATGGACCAATCTCTGGAGCTATGTATCCACCTTAAAGTTTACTACTATACAGCTTCATCTGTCCAGGACAGTGAATAATGTTTACTGGGTATTGAAGACAGACAAGGCACTTCGACACACAGACATAGGCAAGGACTTTCTAAAAAGGTCCAACAACACAGGAGACAATCAGACAATTGACAGACAGGATTCTATCAAATTAAAAAGCCTTGGTATAGCAAAGGAAACAATCATCAGAGTGAAGAGACAGTCTGCGAGGAAATCTTTGCTAAAGACATGCAACCGATAATACTTAGCATCTCTAAAGAACTCCAGCTCCTTCACTCAGAGTGGGCAGTAACACTACCGCCAATTCAGCCATGGCTACGAGGAGGGACTGGTGCCTTCTTGGCAAGGAGGCGCTGATGAAATGCTGGGACATCGGAAGATAGGGCTGTCACAGCTACATGTCACTAAGATGACGTGACAAACGGCAAAAAATCCTGGCTCATCAAACTCTAAGTTGCCTGCAAATCTGTCGCAGTCATCAACTACAGTCTGGATGATCAGGGTGTGGTAGCACAGACCCTCAATCCCAGCACGCAAGGCAGAGGAGAAAGAAAACCTTAAATTCTTCAAGGACAAGCCTCTGGACCTGGGCTCGAGAAGGTATGTATTCTGTGCTCTCAAACATCAGAAGCTAGGACAGAAAGACAAGGCGCCATGCACCAAGGCTCCCAGGCAAGAAGCTGGAGATAGGTAGCAAGTCCGCAGAACCCCTCTGCGGGGCCTGGGTGCAGCTGTGGCAATAAACACAAAGCCGGCACAAACAAGACGAAATGAAACAACCCCCCCAAAATTAAACAAAAAACAAACCATGCAATCAGTAAATACATTAATGAACTGAATACAAAGTCCTCATGAGAAAAACACAGACAATCAATAAATACTTGAAAAATATTCTTAACTACCGGAGAAGTTTTGAGGGCTGGGGAGATGCCTAGTGGTTAAGAGAGCTTGCTCTTTTCTCCAGTTCAGTTCCTAGCACCCACACTGCTCGGCTCACAATCTCCTCTGCCTCTGGCTCCAAGAGATCCAATGCCCTCCAAGTGACATATATACACATACACACACACATACTCACTCTCATAATAATAATAATAATAAATTTTTATTTAAAACTGCTTTGAGGGCTGGGCATGCACAATCTACAATCTGAGTTCTTGGAAGATGAATGTAGGAAGATCAGTCAGTAGTTTGGAGTTCAAGGCCAACCTCAGATATATACAACTCTGAGGCCAGTCTAGCCAACATCAGACTACTTTAAAAACAAACAAACAAAAAATTGCTTTGAGAGTCCACCCTACCCTGGTCAAGATGGCTAGCTTCAAGAAAACAAGTGACAAGAAATGATGTCAAGGACATGCAAGAGAAATTTGGAGAGGACTTCACTATGAAACTGTAGCTGGCCTGGAACTGTGTAGTTCACGGGCCTCAACCTTGTGGTGATATCCCTGCCTTTGCCTCTCAAGACCTGGGATTACAGGCATGAGTCGATAAAGACGGTGGAACTTCAGACACTGCTGGTGGCAATGTAAACTAGTATAGGCACTGTGGAAATAAGTATGGAAGTTCCCAAAATACTAAAAAGGAACTACCATGTGATCTAGCTATACTACACAATGGTGTATACCTCAAGGAGTCTAAGTTAGTGTTCACAGAGAAAAATCACACATTTATGTTTATCGCTATATTACTCTCAGTAGTCAGGATATGGATCTAGTCCTGATATGCCCATTACCAGATGGATGGATAAAGAAATTCTGTTAAGTATATACAAAAGAATTATATTCAGGGGCTGGAGAGATGGCTCAGAGGTTAAGAGCATTGCCTGCTCTTCCAAAGGTCCTGAGTTCAATTCCCAGCAAACACATGGTGGCTCACAACCATCTGTAATGGGGTCTGGTGCCCTCTTCTGGCCTGCAGACATACACACAGACAGAATATTGTATACATAATAAATAAATATTAAAAAAAAGAATTATATTCAGATGTAATGAAGGAAATGCTGTGGAATATTATTTTAACTAGGCAAAGATGTGTTACATTTGTTTATGCTGCAGAATGTTACTTTAACTACGTAAAGGTGTGTTACATTTGTTTATCTGCAGAATATTACTTTAACCACGTAAAGATGTGCTACATTTGTTTATGCTGCAGAATATTACTTTAACTATGTAAAGGTGTGTTACATTTGTTTATGCTGCATTGCTTAATTATGCAATCCTAGTATTTTGGAGGCAGAGTCAACAGGGCCACTGCAAGTCTGAGGCTGGCCTTGTCTACTTAGTGAGTTCCAGACTGGCCCAGGCTACACAGTAAGACCCTGTCTCTAAATTTAAAAAAAAAAAAGAAAAGAAAAGAAAAAATAGGAGCTATCAAGATGGCTTAGCACAGAAAGGCCCCAGGTTGTCAAGGCTGGACCACCTGAATTCAATCACTGAGACCCACATCACAGAAGACAAGACCCTCCTCCTCTAACTTCTATCTATATATATCTATGCGAGTTCCAGGCCAGCCTGTACTACATAGCAAGCCATTTCTATCCTATGGGGAAGAAAGTCAAAGATAACCCAGACAATCCTGTGACTGTGAAGCTATGAGCAAAGACTGGAAGAAAGCAGAACGTCTGTGGTTCTGACTCTGGGTTCACCTGGGTCTGCTGCCCCACCTCACCTCTACCCACCTGGGCTCCTTCCGCAATGGCCTCTGCAGTCCAGCCATGCGCAGGCACAAACTCCAGGGCTGCTGTCAAGATGCGATGCTGTAGCTGCTCCTCACTCTCGTGGTCCTCTTCCTCCTCTCCACTCTGGTCTGTGTACCTGATACAGAGCCCAGCACACATCATCTCACTGTCTACAGCCTGGCATCAGAACGAGCCCAGCAGGAAAGAAAGGATGGGTCTCCTATAGGCATGTTAGGAGGGGCTTTACTTCTGCTTAGTATGGATGTTTTAATACCAACAAGGTTCAAATCCTATCATCCTTGCCCTCCTCCCACAGGAAGAAAGTGTCCAGGAATTTGAGTTTTTATGATAAGAAGACAATGGCCCTGTCCCAGCCTAGGTTTCTGCTTATCATCCTTAGACAAGTGGGTCCAACCTGGGCCCATAGGCTACCTATGCCCCAGGAGAGCTATGGCTCTGGCTAAACATATTGATAGATGACATAGTCATTGTAGAGTCATAGGTTGGCCACTCCTGCTACAACATGGTGTTTAAAGGGTTTTCTTCTGTCTGTACTGGGCTGTTACTCCAAAAAAGTAAGAAAAATGGTTATTTTATTTATAGGTATAAATCCTCAAAAAATATTGAGTTGCAAGTATTTAGCTAGATATCTGCCAGCAATCCCAGCACATGGCAGGTTGAGACAGGAGGAAGTCCTGGAGTTTAAGGCCAGTCTCAGGTAAAAGATAAACACGTTTAAAATTTCATTGCCTGTGTAGAGCAGACTTAGCTTTTATAAGGTAATAATAACTACATTTCCATTAGATATGGGTTTTTTGTTTGTTTGTTTGGTTGGTTTTGAGACAGGGTCTCAAATCAATCACTCAATCATCAATCAATCGATCAATCAAATAACAGGGCTGGAAAATATCTCAGCAGTTAAGAGCACTGACTACTGCTTCTGAGCTCGGTTCCCAGAACCCACACTGGGCAGCTCACAACTGTCAGTAACTTAGCTCTAGAGCAGCAGTTCTCCATCTGTGGGTCTCAACCCTTTGAGGGCTGAGAGACCCTTTCACAGGGGTGGCTTAAGACCATCAGAAAACACAGATATTTACATTATGATTAATAACAGCAGCAAAATTACAGTTACTAAATAGTAATGAAAGTAATTTTATGGTTGGGGGTCACCACAACATGAGGAACTGTATTAAAGGGTCACAGCATTAGGAAGGCTGAGAACCACTGCACTAGGGGGTCTGATGCCCAGTTCTGGCCTTTTTGGCACCCATGTGCACATACCACAAAAGGCAAACAGACACAGACAGACACACACACTTTTTGGCATCAGTACCCACCCATGTGTACATACCACAACAGACACACAACACACACAATTTTTTTTAAAAGAGTACTTTAAAAGCCAGGCGGTGGTGGGGCTGGAGAGATGGCTCAGAGGTTAAGAGCACTGGCTGCTCTTCCAGAGGACCTGAGTTCAATTCCCAGCAACCATATGGTGGCTCACAACCATCTGTAGTTTGATCTGGTTCCCTCTTCTGGCCTGCAGACAGATCACTGTATAAATAATAAATAAATAAATTAAAAAAAAAAAGCCAGGCAGTGGTAGTTCCAGCACTTGGGAGGCAGAGACAGGTGGATCTCTGAGTTCGAGGCCAGCCTGGTCTACAAGAGCTAGTTCCAGGACAGTTGGGGCTGTTATACAGAGAAACTCTGTCTCAAGAAACCAAAATAAAATAAAATAAAAAATAAAGTACTTTACAAAAACTAGTAAAACTTGGCTAGGCATGGACATACATACCTTTAGCACTCAGGAAGGCAGAGGTAGGGGATCTCTGTGAGTTGTAGGCCAGCATAGTCTACAAGGAGAGTTCCAGCTCAGCCAGGGTTACATAGTGACCTTGTCTCAAAACAAGCAAACAAAACTTGGTAGGAAAATTGAACACTCTAATCCTCTATTGTGGAAAGTTCAATTTTCAGTGGCAGGATTAACAAGAAAAACAGATCTGCTGTAGATGCACTCGGGAGACAGAGGCAGGAGGATCTCTGTGAATTTGAGGCCAGCCTGCTCTATATAACCAGTTCTAGGACGGTCAGAACTACACAGAGAGACCCTGTCTCAAAACCAACCAACCAACCAAACAAACAAACAAAAAACCCATATCTAATGGAAATGTAGTTATTATTACCTTGTAAAAGCTAAGTCTGCCCTACACAGGCAATGAAATTTTAAATGTGTTTATCTTTTGCCTCTATGCTCCTAACAGTTCTGTATCCCAGGCAAGCCTTGAACCTGTGATCCTCCTCCAGACTCCAGTGCTGGCCAGTTTTATGTCAACTTGATACAAGCTAGAGCGCGCGCGCGGGGGGGGGGGGGGGGGGGGGGGGGGGGGGGGGGGGGGGGGGGGGGGGGCCACGACGACAGACGGACACACACGACCTCAATTGAGGAAATGCCTTCAGAAGTTCTAGCTGTAGGAAGCCATTTTCTTAACTACTGATTGATGGGGGAGGGCCTAGCCCACTGTGGGTGGTGCCATCCCTGGGCTGGTGATCCTGGATTCTATAATGAACAAGGCTGAGCAAGCCACGAGGAGCAAGCCAGTAAGCAAACACTCCTACATGGCCTCTGCCATCAGCTCCTGCCTCCACGATCCTGCCCTGCTGGAGTAGGACTTCCTTCCATGATAGACTACGACGTGGAAGTATAAGCCAAATAAACCCCCCAACTTGCTTTTGCTCATGGTGTTTTCTTATAACAATAGAAACCCTAACTAAGACACTTTAGTCATTGGGATTACTTCTTCAAAGTTCCCATCTCTACAGAGAGGATATACATGTTTCTTCATATTATGTCTCCTATCAAACAATGGAGTCTAAATAGTCATAAGACAGGCTAAATACATTTTGGTTCATTCATTACCAGAACGTTATACCACTACTATGTTATTTTTAACACAAACTGTGAAAAGACACTAAGAATCTACTGTTGAACAGGCATACATACATCTATAATCCTAGTACTTGGGAAACTCAGTCAGAAGATCGCTGAACTCAATCTGCCTAGGCTACAGAGACCTCATCTTAAAAGAAAAAAAATGCTTATAGAAACTTCTAAAAGGCAATTTTATGTCAGACGAGTTATCTCTGTGTATGACTTCAAGTATTCTCCACTGTGTTTAGATTTTCTAAAAACAACAGAAAACAGCGAAGCACAGTAGCTGACTCCTGCAATCCCAGCACTTTGGAGACTGGGGCTGGAGGATTCCCAGAGCTCGAGGCCATCAGGGCTACCAGCCTGGGGTGCAGAGTTAAAGACCCGCCAGTTCCACAAGACCTTACCAGAAAGGAAAGAGGGAAGGGGAATAGAAAGAAGAAGGAGGGGCTGGTGAGGAGGAAGCTGCATTCTGAAGCATGCCAAGTGGCCAGCAATGAGTAGATCCGGACACTAATGCTTACCTGGGGGGCTGACGAGGAAACTCTGAGCCGGGTGTTTCTGGCCCTGGTGTCTCAGAATGCTGCTGAGAAAAAGACTGAGGAGGCTGCCGCTTCTGCTCTTCTGAAGACCTCAAGCCCACAGAAGTGTGGAGGGCACGCGGCATCAGAGGTGATTGGCAGCGGACCACTGAAACAGAAACAAGACTGTTGTTCAGGGACATTCACCGTGGAGCACCGTCTGAGACCCAGAGTGGTGATAAAAGTGAGGAGGAAGTACACGGTAGGAACGCTCTGCAGGCACTCATTCCAGTGTTGAGTCCCCAACAGACACCTTGTAAACAGAAGCCTTGAGACACGTAAATCAGTTAACCGAAGACCTAGCTGTCTCACTGGCCTGTCTGTAGCACCGGTCAGCTATATGGCTCTATAAAACATTTCCCTCAGTATACAGACTAAAATAATTGTCTTAATTATTACTGTGTGTGCATGACATACATGGATAGTCATTCAATGACACACGCTTAGAGCTCAGAGGGTTCCTTTGTGGAGTTGGCTTTCTTTTTTAACCCTTACATCCATTCTGGGAATGGAACTCAGGTTGCCAGGTTTGAACCATCTTGCTGGCTCCATAATATTCAGCTTTTAAAACCCCACAGATTAAGAGTGTTAATCTCAACTTGTTCGGTGGCAATGTTAAGGTACCCTTCAAACATGAAATGCTACACCTATGTACATAACAAGCCTACATTCCAAGTGTTTACATGGCATTTCTTTTCCTTCTTTATCATGTTTTTGTATATTGTATGCGTGTGCATGTTTGTGTGTATTGTGTGCATGTGCTTGTTTGTACGTACATAGGTGAGCATGCACAAGTATGTGGAGGCTTGAGGTCAGTTTTGGGAATCATTCTCAATCTCTTCTTCCACTTTATTGATTGATAGGGTCTCTGCAACAAAATCAGAGCTTACTGATATGGTTAGTCTTGCTGGCCTGCTTGAACTAGAGATCTCCGGTCTCCACCTCCGGGCTTCTTTTCTTTCTTTCAGTTTTTATTTTTCTGTTTGTTTTGTTTCTGAGACAAGATCTCACTATGGAGTCCTGACTAGAATGACACTCAGTATGAAGACCAGGCTAGCCTGAACTCACTATGGAGACCAAGCTGGCCTCAAACACCCAGAAATATGCCTCTCTGACTCCTTAGTGCTAGATTAAAGGCATGTACCACCACATGTGTGTTTTATGTGGGTTCTAAAGACCAGAATTCTGGTTCTCACACTCAAGCACTCTAACTTACTTTAGGAAATATCAGCAGTGTCTCCTGTGTAAAAATCCTTACTAATTTTTTCTTCCTCAACACTTTATCATCAGAATACAAGCTGAAGGAATTGCGAACATCTGGATATCCACTCCAGTTTCTACAGATATGCTCTTCACCAGCATATTTCTGATTATTTAGTGCAGATCTCAAGGGTTCTGCATCTCCAACATTTCAGTCCATGTATTACTCGAGCTCACTGATTACTGTCCCTTTATGAACTGTTTATATATGATGAAATATACAAATCTTAAATATATCATTCTGTGAGCGATGTAAAGAAATACACCTGTATAACATGAATCCTATGTAGACATTACTATCACCCCAGAAAATTCCCTCTCACCTTTTCAGCTCCCATACCTCTGTTCTGAAACTCACATCCTAGGTTAGTTTTTGCTTGTACTTGGATTTCTTTAATCTACATGTTCTAATGTTTTTCTCTGAAGTTTCTTTTGTTTCATATATATTTTAAAATTTTGTTTGTTTGTTTGTCAAGACAGGGTATCTCTGTGTACCTGAATGTCCTGGCATTCACTCTGTAAACCAGGCTGACCTCAAATTTAGAGACTAGCTTGGATTAAAGGTGTGCACCACCACCGTTTGGCTAATTTTTAAAGATTTATTCATGTGTATGAGTGTTTTGCCTGCATCTATGTATATGTATCCCATGTCTGCCTGATGACCACAAGGAGAGAAGAGGGGGTTGGGAAGTGAGCCCTGGGTATCTGCAAAAACAGCACACACTCTTAATGATGAGCCATTTCCCAAGCCCTGCTTAGTATTTTTTCAAAGACGTCTTACTTTTTTTTTTTAATGAGTCTTTTGCCTGCATGTGTGTATCTGCACCATGTGAATGCCTGTGTCCATGGAGGCCAAAAGAGAATATTGGATCTATGATTGGTAGAAACTGAACTTGTGTCCTCTGGAAGACCTGCCAGTGCTCTTAACCACTGAGCCTTCTCTCCAGGACATTATTTAGTTTTTTAAAAAAAAATAAATATATATATATATATATATATATATATATATATACACACATTGGTGTCAGTTTGTGTGTGGGGATGAAGAAGGCATGAGATGCCCTGGAGCTGGAGTTACAGGTGGTTGTGAGCTGTCCAACATGTGTGCTGGGAATCCAACTTGGGTCCTTCTCAAGAGCAGTATGAACTCTCAATTGCTGGGCCATCTCTCTACCTTCCCAGATCAGTATATTTTAAAAAGATCATCCTATGCAACTCTTTGAGAAGTCTACAAGAACACTTGGGAATGTTTTACTTTCTGTGACTCTTTGAAAACCCATGTTCCTGGATCTGTCTTTCTTTTGAGTGCCTCTTTTCTCTTAACCCTAGTGCTCAAGTCTACATTAAAATCTCTTCGTTAAACCCTGTTTTAAACATGTACACACAAAATATCAAAAGATCAGCTTATATTATTTTGAGACAGTCTTCCAAATAGCTCAGATTGAGACAGGACTACACATATTTTAAAAAGAAAATTGTAATAAGAAGGAAAAGCACGGGGTTGGAGAGATGGCTGAGAGGTTAAGGGTACTGGCTGCACTTCCAGAGGTCCTGAGTTCAATTCCCAGCAACTACAAAAGAGGAATGTTTGGCTTTTCAGGGTCCAACCATTATAAAGGTGCTGCGAATACACTTCAATGTTTTGTGGACACAATTTCTTGATTAAATACCCAAGATTGAGTTTCTTGGACCCTGGTATTATTTTTACTAAACATACCTTGTCTGAAACTTAGGATAAAATTGACAAAAAGGAAGTCACTGAAAACAATAATATGGAAAGAAACATAGAACACCATGCATAAAATCAGCATTTTGTTATATGCACAGAAAATAGAGCAAATACCCACAAAATATGAAGTGAGGGGTTTCCCAAAGTATGGCTGTGAAATCTCTGCAGCTCGGAAATTTTAGTTGCATACTTATGTTAATGTGTTAGTGTGGAAATATTCTATTTATGGACAGTGATTTTTGCTTTTTCACTTAATAACAATGTCCAAAGTTTTCTTTTTAAAGTAAAAGTCTGGATTAACGTGGAAGTAAAAATACTGAACATTCGGCAGCAATGATAGTAAGAGAATGTCACCAACTTAGTGACGTGGTGTGGCAATGACTGACTCTGGGGAAAGACCGGGCTGGACGTTCTCTGTTCCATCTGTCCCTCCAGCGAGGCTGGCCCAGTGCCCATGGCAACGGAACTGAGAACACGTCTGCAACGGACGAGCTCGGTGACCTTGGGTACACCGAGCCCTCTCTGAAGCTCCATTACCTCTGGGGAACCGGGGTGACAGGCCTGCTCCGTTGCTTTTGCCCCTCACAGCTCCAGTCAGGAGATCGAAACCCACTAAGTGGTTTTGTTTTTTCCCCAACTCGAGACTCCAGGGGCTCCACGCTGATGCCCTTCACCTTTACCTTGCTATCCCCCACCATGGCCTTTCTCGCCCTATGCCAAGCCCAGGCTCGCGCAGCTTCTCCTTCCCCGCTCTCCCCCGCGCCCGGCCTCAGTTGTCACCTCACCGGGCAGGCACCGCAGCTGCAGGAGCCTCCAGCCTACCCGGCCGAGGACGCCAGACACTGCTGCCGTCGCCGCCATCTTGGAAGTGGGCACGCACGCCGACGGCGGCGACGTGCCGGGCAGCGTCACGCCGTCAGGCGAGGGGGGCCGCGTCTACCTTCTAGGACTGGGTGCTGCGCCGCGTCTTCCCGCGAGAGACCGGAGACGAGAAGCCGGCGTCTGCGGAGCGGGTATTCAGGGTAGGAGGAAGGTGAGCTCGTTCTGGGCAGCTCGAGTACCCGATCGGGCCTAACGGGCCTCCTCGTGCCCACTCTCGTCCTCTGTCCTCTCGTTTCCGCTCCCCGCGCCGTCATTGGCTTGCCTGGGGGAAGCCGGTGTGAGGGATCACGGTGACCATCATGGCCCTTCCCGCGGCGGCATTCCTATCGCCGGGGCTCTTCTGCCGCCTCTTTTTCTCCTGAAACCCGGAGCTGGCATCGAGATCGCCAGTTTACTCATAGCCATCTGTGGTGACCTTGGGTCTCCTTCAGGGCATCTGGCGGAAAGCACGAAAGCTGGGGAGAACCTGGAGTCACAGGTTGTCCCTTTGAGCTTGGCATTTATTTCCGACTTATCTAGGATGCTTGTTTATAAAACGAATCCAGGCTTTTGTCCGGAGAGTTGACCCTGTGGTCCAGGGATCTAGCTTTAACAAACCATTTTTAAGTTTGGGAGAGGCTTGCTTCTTAGCGTCTGGCGTATCTGAGTCCAGGTTGCAGTCTTCCGAGGGGGACCTGAGCGACTCGCTGCTCCCCCTGGGAAGGAGCAAATAGTGTGTATTTATTGTCATGATCCTGGAGGGAACATTTATGTGGAGGCCAGAGGACAAGTTTGTTTTTCATCAGACTGTGGCCACCTCCCTTGTGACAGGGTCTCTAGTGGCCTGAAGCTCACCAGTTAAGGCTGGACTGGCTGGCCAGTCTGCCCTTCTCCAGCTCCCCGGTGCTGGATTACTTACCCGGCCAAATAAGCTTTAAAAAAATACATATATTCTATTTAGTATTATTTTATGCGGGTTTGACATGTGTAGAATGGAAGTCAGGAGAACTTTCAGGAGTTAATCCTCTACTTCCTTGGGTTCTGAGGATTGAACTCAGGTTGTCAGGCTTGTATAGCAAGTGCCCTTACCCATTGAATCATCTCAATGGCCCACACATCCAGCTTTTCTGTGGGTTCTGGGACTCCAACTCAAGACCTGTGCTCGCTTGTTACCTAGCCGTCCCCAGAGTCCTGATAATGGTCTTGAGACTAGTTTCACTGAAGGGTCCAGGCTGCCCTCAGAACTCGGGATCCCTCTTCAGTATCCTAAGAGGGCTGGGATTACAGGCAAGCGCCATTTCCGGCTATTAAATTGGTGTTTGTTTGATTTTGTGGTATTGAAGTCTGAACTCAGGACCGTATACATACTAGCTAGGTACACACCACTGAACTGTACCCCCCCATCCTTAATGAGTGACTCCTGCAACAATGCATTGTATCATATCCAGCCCTCTTCAATGGGACCACAAGCCTAAGAATCTGCTTGTTGGGTGCCCATAAATATGCCCATCTCCAGTCGTCAGATGTTTGCTCTTGTTCTTACTGCCTGCTGGTAACTTTTTTTAAAACAGGGTCTCACTGCATAGCTGAACTTGATGTGTAGACCAGACTGGCCTTGAACTCCCAAAGATCTGCCTGCCCTTGTCTAGGAAGTTCTGGTACTAAAGGTGAACACCACCACACGGGGCTGCTAGGAACATTTTTGGAAAGCCTTGGGTGGCTGCTGTCAGCTGGAGAAGCATCTAACAAACAAGGTCAATTATGTGACGTTGTCGTCCACTTCACCGCTCTGAAGTTGTGAAACAGCCCTGAGTCACAGCCCCTGAGTATGCTGGCTTAGGCGCCGGATTTTTTTATATATATAGTTCTGGTTTTGTTTTTAAACAGATCTGCCACACTAACAAAAAATCTGATCAAAATTGTCACACTTTGGCTCTATAGCTTAAAAAAATTGTCTTTTCAGGAAAGGTTGACTGAAAACTGTAGGTGTGTGTGTGTGTATTGATGAGGGGAGGTTTAAGGTTTAATCTACTCATGAAGTCCCTCTTGTTATGGGAAGAAGAATGTTCTGTTTACACTCCACTAACTTACTGGCACAGTCCCACTGGTACTGGACGTCAAAGGCGAGGCTCTCTGGGTTCTAAGGATGGAAAGGAAGCTTTGCGTTCTTCCCTCACAAGCATCTGTAAGGAGAGAGGTTTTACCAGACTATTGGAAGCAAAGACAAACTGCGGATTATTTCATTGAGCTCTGTGGATCAGCATCTGCTGAGCACTTTACATAGCTTGCTGTTCCAGGGTTTCTTACCAGTCGTAAAAACATGAGGTTGTTTATTGATAAGGAGACTCAGAAAGGCTGACTTGCCACAGTCCTGTCCCTGAGGAAACAAGTAGTGGACAGATGTTCAGGCTATTCATTTTTAATAACTTGCTACCTAGCAGAAAGTACTCCTGTCTTCTCTGCAGGCTCTTAAATGTGAGATTGGTCCCATGTTACCCAATTGAGAGATTTGCAAGGTTTCTTTCTCAAAGTCATGTGCCAGTTAGAAGCTGTTCATTCTTGACGGTGTGCTTTTTAGGGATTTAAAATCCCACACTAAAGAACCAAAGACTCCTGCCTGTCTGATAACCACGTGGCGTCCTCTTGGGCTTTGTGCTGAGTCAGGATAGCACAGAGCTGGTGTTCGCAGGAAGAAACTAGCCAAAAGCTGTGGTGGAGCGAGAGTGCTGTAGGGAGAGAGTCACTTTGGAGTGGAAGTCAGATGTTGAATCTAGCCAGCTGAGGGTTTCAATTTTGCTGTAGACATTAAAACCATTAGTAGCATTTTCTTTTTTTTTTTTAATATTTATTATGTATACAATATTCTGTCTGTGTGTATGTCTGCAGGCCAGAAGAGGGCACCAGACCTCATTACAGATGGTTGTGAGCCACCATGTGGTTGCTGGGAATTGAACTCAGAACCTTTGGAAGAGCAGGCAATGCTCTTAACCTCTGAGCCATCTCTCCAGCCCCCCATTAGTAGCATTTTCTAAAATGACAAAGCACTGTGTAAGCAAAGGTGACTCTGGTTAAAGGTCATAGTTTTTAGATACAAAGGTGAACAGTTTTCAAACCAAGCATGATGTTGCATACCTGTAATCCTAGTACTTGGGAATTAGAGGAGGCAGGATCAGAAGTTCAAGGCCAGCCTGGGCTAGATGAGACCCCCCCACCCCGCAAAAAAAAAAGTAACAGGAAAATGAAATAAGTTATGTTTTATTTTGTGTGTGTGGCCATTTGTACCCCACCTGCACATGTGGAGGTCACAGGACAACCTGTAGAAGTCGGTTCTTTCTCTCCATGTGGTACATGAAGACTGAGTTCAGATAATCAAGCTTGGCCACAAGTGTTTTTACCAGCTGGTGCATCTGCTGCCCCTGGATGTTTTTGTAGAAGGGAAGTATAAGGGCATGTGACCTAAGTACAGCCTGGGAGTGTGGGGTGTCACTCTTACAGAGTTGGCCATCTCTGCAGAAGTCAGAAGTGTTCAGCATGAGTCTGCTGCCACTGCTTCTTTGTTTCCCGTATTTGAAGCTGGAAACTTGGTGCATTAATGTTTAAGGAAGGAGGAGCTGACAGATATCCCTTGGCCTCCTTCACAGTGGGCAGACTTGCATATCAGGGGGAAGAGAAAGGTAACCTGGGTGGGATGCTTTCATAGTTACATAGGTTTGGATTCGAGTCCCAGCTTTTGTTTTACCCACGCGATATTGGTTGTGTACAGTGTTGGCTGACCCAGATCTTTAACTGTACATTGGGAATAACCTAATATCAGCTATTCTGAGGGTAATTTGAGATAATGTGTGTATAAGGTGTGTTTCAAAGAGGCTGGCTAATGTTAAATGTTGAAAGTAGTGTTGGTCACTGTAGATTTGGTGCAGTTGAATTTTTATAAGTAATGTCAAGAAATATAAGTAATAAAAGTATTTAGTTTGCAAATTTTAAATATCTTTTTTAAAAACTATAACTATGGTTAGGCTAGCTGCCAGTGTATTGCCTTCCCCTGTGAGTCACCTCTACCTAATGAATGCCCTGTTTGTTTCATAGTCAGCTCAGACTTGCCAGCCTTTGTACTTGATTCTCATCCCCTTTTCTTGACGTTGCTATATCTGTCTTGTCTACCTGTCATGTCAGGGAATGTTGGGATTATGAAACCTTGAGATGAAGGTTCATTTAGTGAGAATCTTAGGGTTTACACCAAGCTATAACGCATCCTCAGCCAGAGGTTGTTAGAAGTAGGTTATGATTCTAATCATACTTGATGATAACCTGGGGATTAAATTCCACTGTTGTCTCGATTTCTCTTGCCAGTAGCTTTTAGGTCCGGCTGCACTGCAGGAATGGCAGAGTTTGGGATCTCCTCTGGCCAGCTTGTGGCAGTGTTCTGGGACAAGTCATCTCCTAAGGAGGCCCTAAAAAAACTGGTGGATAATCTTCAAGGGTTAACTGGCAGCGAGGGCCAGGTGTTCGCAGAGAACCTCAGCCAGCTGCTGCAGTGTAGGTGCCGCCTGCCTTTTCTTCTCTTCCTCATACTTGAGTTTTGACAGTCACCCCATTTTTTGAGCTCACTTGGGCATGTTGTCGGTAATTTCTGCATGTTCTTTTCTTTGGTGGCTGTTCCTCATTCTAAAAATCTCCTTTTTTTACTTCTTACCCCAATCTTACGGAGGTTGAGGAATTAGTGCGATCCGGGGCAGAACAGAGTCTTAGCCCCCTTCTGCTGCTATCAGGGACTTTATTCTCCTGGGGTGATACTGTACCCTCTGTGGGAGGTCTGTGGGAGGGTTGGGAGGTGGCTCCCTGGGTAGGCAACTGCTCCTTATTCTTTTCAGCTGCCCATAAAGAATCCAGCTTTGACGTTATTCTGTCGGGTGTAGTCCCAGGAAGCACCTCTGTGCACAGTGCTGAGGTTCTGGCTGAGATGGCCCGAATCCTTCGGCCAGGGGGATGCCTTTTTCTGAAAGAACCAGTGGAGACAACTGTAGGTAAGGATGTCTTTACTCAGAAGGTGGATGTTTAGCACAGCCGAGTC